TTACCTTACTTACTCCTGCTACTCCCAATGGAGCATAACCCGTCGACCAGCATTCTCCAACCCACTCTGTCCTGGGTCTTCCTTTCCAGTTCTATCCAATTTTTGTTGATTTTTCTCATGTCTGTCTCCATTTCTCGACGTAATGTGTTCTTTGGTCTTCCTCTTTTCCTTTGGCCTTGAGAATTTCATGTGAGAGTTTGCCTTGTAACTCAGTTGGGTGCTTTCCTCAATGTGTGTCCTATCCACTTCCAGCGCTTCTTCTTGATTTCTCCCTCCACTGAGATCTGATTTGTTCTCTCCCATAGTAGATTGTTGCTGATAGTGTCTGGTCAACGGATGCAAAGTATTTTGCTTAAATTTACCTACTAATTAACACTTCAGTTATTACAATAATTTACAAATAATTATTTCATTGAATATTGTTTATTTGTTTTCTCTCCAATAATTAGACATGAAACATCAACTGGATTTTATCGTATTTCAGCATATTTTCTTTCTAAAATTTTATCGGATGTTTTGCCGATAAAAGTGATACCAGCTTTTTTGTGTTTATCTATAACATATTATTTAACTGGTCTTCGCTATGAATTATATCCATTTTTATTATGGCAACTCACTATTGGATTGTTAACATTTTGTGCATCAGCGATTACATTTGCTGTCAGTGCAATGGTAAATGATCAACGAATCGGATCAATATTGTTATCTATGTTTTTTGTTCTAATGATGGTATGTCTTGTAAAATTTATTAGACATAAATTTTTGTAGAATAACTAATGTTTTTTTCTTTAGTGATTGTGTTTTTTTGAAAAAAAATTATAGTCTGTATAATCAAAAGAGAAATGGATGAACTTTTCGATTAGATAGCTAATTCATCGTCATTACCAATAATAACATTTTTGTATTCATTATTAATGAATAATAACTTTATGAAACCATTTTCAAAGTGTAAGTAGATACCATCTTTAGGACAGTAGAAATTAATTGTCTTCTGAAAGGTTCAGATGATCGATTTCTCAACTATAGAAATATTGCGAATAACTTTTCTGTTTTCAGTGTATTTGAATTGAATAGATATGAATGCTAAATGTATGTACTCAGGTATTGTTATAAAAGGTTGGTAAATGTTTGCAATAGTCAATAGTGGGAAACTCAAACAGAAATATTGGATTTATTGAGATATTTTCCGTCTTGTTTATCCTTTAAAAAAAGAGGGATGAATATAGTGAAATCTATACACCTAATTTATGATATATGCAATAAAATAGTTGTGACAGCTAACCTAAACAAAAATATCCAGTGATTGAATTCGGGTAGTCATATATTGGCTATTGTATAAATAGGAACTTTTTTACAATATTGAACAATTGGTGCTGGGGAATCATTAATGTAACCGAGTGTATAGTACTTAATAAAATTATTATTATTTATGTTTGCTTTATACGATAAATCAACTAGTTGAAACTATAAACTATTGAGTAACAGCTCCATTTATCTTTTTGATATGCTCAAATTTTCAGTATTTGCTTTTGTTAATTTAATTAATGTAACTAATTGTTAATCGAATTGTATCTGTCTCTGAAATTATTACTCATATTGTACACTGGTTTACTTTATTTCTCATCACTTTTATGCAGTTACTGTTCTTAAAATAATGCTAAACTATCCTAAAATTGTCTCTTATCACCACACAATTTCATAAAGCTTGTCTTATTTTAATTTATCCTTACAAAATACGTTTTATTTATTTTTTTTTAGATAACGAGTGGTTATTTAGTAAATATATCAACTTTATGGAAATGGCTTCAATTAGTTCGTTATATTTCAATACTACGTTATGCTATAAACATATTAACAATAAATGAATTATTTGATATGACCTTTTGTCCTGAAACAACATTATCGTATTCAAAATTATCATCTATAGATTTTAATCGCATTAATGCAAGTGATTCGCTTTATTCAAATACAACATCGTTATTAATGAATGAATGGAAAAACACTGAGTACTTTCGAACTGGGATTGAGAAAATTCAAAATTTAGAATCTATCTGGTAATTAGTTCTATCTTATTTTCTCAATTCATTAGAATATAATATAATTATATTTCTAATACATACGCTAATGCCCCTTTTAATTGAATTCAGTTGGTTATATATATATTAAAACTGTCTTTCATATAACCATTTTGTTTTTTGTTTGATTTATATATAATAAATGATAATTAAGATACCTAGTTGATATAACACTAAAGTTAACGTCGTGAGCGAATTTCAGTTGCATTTTTTATTTATAAAGTACGATAGAGATAATGTAATTGACAAACGTGATCACGGAAATGAAAGGTCTGTCACTTTCATTCTGTACATAAGGGAAAGGTTGAAAGCGCTTAATGAAAATAGTATCTGCAAAGTGGAGTAAGGTGACATTTGCTGCCTGGTAATTATTTTATACGCCTTTGCGACATCCACGCCGTGTCCACCATGTTTAGTGATCGCACCTGTGAATCCTGTACTTCCTTTCAGAAACAACTTATGGGGAATGTGTTCGCAGAACCCTCTACACCCCACGTTCTTTCGGTCTTTCTTTGTGTACTTGCTTCCGTAAGTACACGTAAATTCCTAATAACATTTGAGTATGCATTTTTATATATGTTCTACATTTCATCACTTCTTTGAACTGTCGGTCTCAAACTATGAAATACGAGTTTGTAAAGGTTTACAATCTTTATGCAATTGCGTTCTGTAACCTGAATGATTTGATTCTGAAGCTTTCATGGACTTTCCTGACATTGTCATCCCCACAAAAGCTCAAATAGAAGTGGTCCACGGGAATTTCTTCATGGGTGATTAACAGCTTGTGGTGGTTGGTGAGATCACTCCTTGTAAGAACGAGTCGCCGATCTATTATTATATATTATCATAATCTCTAGATGGAACGGTCAAATAGTTAGCGACGATATCTCGAAGTTGGCTAGGTTGTTTATGTTAGTTATCATGAATAACAGTTGTTTGTAAGGAACGGCTTGCAGTAAAATATCGATCCAGATTTCCTACTTACAGATATTTCCTCGAAAATAGGAAATAAACTGTAGACTTTACAGTATAATAATTTAACTATACACACTGATCTCCCCAATATAAAAGGTGTCAACCGTTTCGAAATGCATCTGTCCATTAACCTGAAATGCAGTGTTTTTCTAATATAACTGGAAACTATCAAAACAGTGAAACTTCCTATGATTGTATACTTTCTAGTAAATAATCTTCAACACATTTACACTTGTACTTCATTTGGGTATGTGTTGGTTCAACACTTAAGATGTTGATTTAATTAGAATTTCTATTATTATTCTCACATTTTTAAAATTTATTTTTATTTCACTATACAGCATTAGCGGTGTACAGTATTTAGAATCACAAGCAATTGAATATCGATCAAAATGGGCAGTTTGGTTAAATGAATTGGGTATATTTGTGATTGCAATTTTAGCCTTGTGTGTAGCTTATATTCATTTAAGACTAATTAAACGATATAGATAATAGACAATAGAATCAATCAATATAATATTCACATATATTTAGTAATAGAATAATTTATACTAATTATTTTTCTAGAAAACATTTTCTTTAATATGTAACTAATTCCCTAAGTAAAATTAAAACTGTCTTTCGTATAACCATTTTTTCTTTGATATATATATATATATATATATATATATATATATATAATTGGTCTGTGCAAATTTGTCTATTATTAGCATAATGTTTATTTTAAATGTTGAAATAAACGACCAATGATAATGCATGTATTTTTTTTATCGGTTTGAGTTTGTTTTTCTACTTTATTATATTGTTTACTTTCTTTCGTCTCCTGTACATAATATGTTTATTTTTATAATAGTGCTGAATTTTATTTTTGCTATATTCAATAATTACTTTTTTGTACCTCTTATGTTGTTTGATGACAGCTGGTAACGTACATATTCTAAAGCATTTTAACAACTGTAGATGTCAAGTTCGGGTCATAAATACTAGACAAAATTGAACGATAGAGTTCATGAGTTGAACACCCTGATTACTTTATTTAGCCAAGTAATCGTACCATTTTTAGTTTATTCGTAACGAAACATCCACATAGATAGATGTAGGCGGTTGGAGTTTGTCAAATCGCATAAACTGTAATCTAAAACATCTACGATAACATACCTACCAAAGGTTGGCTGTTTTTCCTGTATATAATAAAATAATTATTTAATGGGTAACCCTTTCCGCTACATCATTCAATAGATTGAAGAGTTTAAGACCTGGTTACATAACAATCCCTCGAGCAGAAAAGTGTCGAAATACTCCATAATTTTGTTATTGAAGACAAAATAATTTTCAAGAAGCGGATGCAACGGAATTTCGCAGACACAGTTCATTAAGCTGAATCAGTCCGAGATTAAACTTCACCTCGCTTCTGATACTATTTATTGTAAAGTATTTATCGTCTTGACTTTGTTCACTGCTGTGTTCTACGCGGATTCAAACTTGTATTTTATTCTACATTGATTTTATCTGTGATAATACAACTAAGATAATCTGATAAGTACTTAGGTAAGATAGGAATTGATGGTTACTAACCTCAGGACTCATAAAACTGCTTCTGAGAGTATGAGCATTTATTAGTCCTACGGATTGAGTTGCATTAAGCTAGTTAACTTATGAATCTCGACTACACTATACAGCATCGTACTTCGGTTTGGGCGCTCGGACACATAACAGCTTTCAAAAAATGTATTTGTGAAATATTTAGTAATATTTCATTTTCGAACAATAGCCAAAACTGTTCTGAAATTCTGTGCAATATTATGTTGATTTAAAAGTACAGAGAATAAAAGTGAAGGTAAAAAGTTTAGAAAGACTTCTCAGTATTTCGTAAATAGTATAAAGGAAGAGCAGGAGAATGAAAGATTTACAGATAGATTTCATATGGGATTTAGTCGAACTAAGTCAAAATTACAACGAATAAGTTATCGCACTTTGATTGTTACAATACATAATTTCTTCCGGTATGTTTTTGAAGGACTCCACAATTTGAGTAAGTGAGGGACGATCTTGAGGATTAGCGGATAGCATTGCTTTCATTAAGTTTATCAATTCTGGTGGAACTCTGAAAAATTAAAAGGAGAGTAAAAGGGAATGTTTTATTGAGTGGTATACAGTACAGAACAGTAGTAACAACGTTAACATTGCATTGAGTTACCTTAAGAAACTTGATCTAAGAACAAAGCGATAGCTGACCTCGGATTAAATTAGAGGGCCTAATTTCTATTGAGTAATTATTGAGGAGGGGCAAATATTATGTTACACTGGTTCTTAGAGCTGAATAAATCCCGTCCATTAGGTTTTAACGTGGGCATTAGATTAAGCAACCTGAGATCGCATGTAAAATATTTTGATGTTAGATGACGGAAAGTAATCTGCTGGAAGCTTTTCAACTAAGGTGGCAAATTATGAGCATAAAGATATAATTTATTAGATTAACCCATAGCGTCATTGAATAAGACGAGAATTCAGCGAAGGGAATTTTCTTTCCGACGAAATCATTTACTTAAGCTGTACATTCGTATATATATACGCTGAATTCTCTTTTTCTTATATAATTTATTCATATCTCTACTCCAATAATTTGTATCTTAAAATCGGATCAAAAGGTGATTGGCCATCGCAAAATCACGATAATATTTTGATAACTATAAAATGTCTTTAAAAAACTTACTTTGAACACGAGTCTTTTGGGAAATATATATTAGCTGAACAAGCAGCAAGAGCAACGCTATCACCCCGAGCATGAACGAAATCCATTGGGGATTTGAAAAAAATCAAGGCATAAAACAGACATCCTAAGGACTAAAATAGGTATTCAGGCATAAAAAACCGTAAGGAAGTACTTGCCCAAACATCAGCTTTCTCGGTTATTGTTTCATGAGTTATTGGATTAAACAACTCTGGAGCCCGATAAGTTAGTGAACAGTTTTCCTCAGCAAACTCCTTGAAAAACAAGATCTAGTAACAATATGTTACCTTCCATTTTTCTGCATCTCTAATGCTCTCAATAGGAAGAATGGACGGAGTAGCAGAGCCAAAATCCATTAAAACTGGTCTCATTTCTTCAAACAAAAGAACATTCCCAGGCTTTATATCTCTGTAGAGAAATACGTCTACAAGTACAATTGTTTTACCGATGAGACATTGGAATATCAAGAGAAAGAAGAGCAATAAGGCCATCGCAAATACCAATCATCATGGTCTTTATAAGGTACAGGGGGAACATGACATTACGTGCAGATCTATGGTCAATTTCACGTTGCAATGTACCTCGCTGCAATACTTCATCTGACATACATTAGAACATACCTTGCTATAAGATAACACCAAAAGAACTTCTGATATAGCTCCTTGTTTACGTCTAGAGACATGTTGTAGGCCACTCGCGATACAGGAAAGCAAGTTGGGATGACCAGGGAGATTCAGTTGGAAATTAGCTTCTTTTAAAGCCCTAGTTTCATCATCCTTTGAATGGCATGGGATACGTTTTAAAGCGAATGGTTTTTTAGACACTTTGTCAAAAACGAGATCTATTCGGCTAAATCCACTGAAAGCTTCCATCATTAGAAAACCTTATGAACATACCCAGTATCTAACTTATCGCGCACGTAAAACGTTTTCCAATGTCCTGATGCATCCTTTACTCGAACAGCTTCATTACATGGGTATGTACAACCCATAAGACAAAAGCTTCTCAGAACCATACATTCAAGTGAGATTCGTCACTAAAATGAAAATTAATGTTTAAGATATACCGGTGGTCTGAGACAAATATCTACAGAGTAAGACCTACTTAAGCTCCAACAAACATAATATCAAACGAATTCTGATCTAGTTGTTTGAGATCATTGATATTGTATATGCTTAGTGACTAAATACTGGGATGAGAAATCCCTGAAAACTTCAATAAGTAGAAGGGTTAATATAAGTACATAAGCAGATTTCACGATGTAGAACTATAATGACGTGCTTAGCGGCTTAAATGAAATATGATGCAAAGACCTTAACTTTGTCGTCTTTGGATTTTTTATCTTGCATTTTACCACTACTTTTGCTAATCTAGTCTGAAATATCTTTTGGCTTGACGTGTCTCAAGCAGAACCTATAAACACACTTTTACCTTTTCTTCCTGGTACTGGTGGGCAAGTGGATGGAATAAGTGCTTCTATGGCAATCCTATGTAAGCGTGTGATTGTGAGGTGGTCATATTGATCATCATTACTAACATTTGCCTGCTTCGTACTTGTATTGGGTGCCAAATAATTTTGGCTGCAGGGAGGTTTGCCACTAACCTCATGAACAGGACAAGACTCAATTGATATAGACATTAGTATAACAGAGAGCAGTTGCTGGTCATGAACTTATAGTACTTAAATGTACACGAATTGGATTTTAAAGATGGGGTCACTTGTACTATGCTTCAAGTTGTGATCGTCCTCATCTAATCATTCAGATCTGCATTGTTTTCTACACTTTGATTTTTCAACGCTGTGAGTTGGCGGTGAACCGGCGGATAACCGTTCGTGGGCTTTCAGAAGAGGAGCAACAGAAAAAAAGGGATTGATAACATCAATACTGAAGCTAATTGACTATTCATGAAAGCTGTATATTTATGTACTAAGTTTTAGCTCGTACACCACCAGAGATGCATGTGACGGTGCTGACTGAGAAAAATCTGACACTTAATTCTCATTATTTTGGGATAACACAATGTCCACTTATCATATTTTAACGAAATTTCGCAATCATTTCTAAGACAATTAGACTGGACCCCACTGTATAGGATTTTACCGGGAAGTAGATTTTATACGCTTACATTGAGATGTATATGCTTTTGGAAAATCATGAATTAGTCCAAAAGTATATACTCTATGTGTTCCACTACTAATCATCATTTTAATTGTACTGTTTTTGTGTGTTCGACTAGCACGTATTTTCGGTTTCTAGCCCCAAGTTGATCTTACATGATAACAGTGATGCAATATAATCCATCGACGAAATCCACACATAATGTGACTAATTGTCGTTAATAGCAAATGAACAATATAAAGTGAATACGGATAAAATTAGGAAGGGTATATTTCATGCTTACAAAGTAGCAGACAGACGGTAACATTTGGGTGCAGAGTGGAGATGCATTACTAGCAGACCCAACTCCACTAAAAGTGATCAGTACAATTTGTAAGGTTAATGTACTAAGTACCAACAATCAACCAGACTACAGATACATAAGTGAACGAAAATATGTAAACATGATTGCCGTAAATAACACCGTTAAATGCTGCCTGAATTATTCCTGAACATTTAATAGTACTAAAAACTTTAAGCAAGCGTAAGAAATGCCTTTTGTAATAAGGATTAACAAGTCTATGTTACATAATGAAGAAATCTAAATATTGTATTATGATTCAGGATTTCAAGTCACATGTACAGCACAAAGTAAGACCGATGTTTGGAGGAGTGGTTTAGTATGTGCGGGTCATACGGGTTATTCGCTTAATTGATTTACCAGAAGACAACGTACATTTTGAAGATTCGCCGCAATCCTTAATGTCCAATCATGTTCAAATGTGTTGAATGGTTCTTGTTGAAATAGAAGCTTTCACTTGACGAGATTCCTTATCTGGTCGCGGTGGATCACCGATGCCTCAAGGTTGGGACTTAAGTAAATTTAATCGTAAAAGGGAATTAAATTTTATGGATAGTATGTGGTCACGTAGATCTGCGCATATCATGGGCTACATAAATTTTGAGAGTAATGAGGTAAGTGGTACTGATCTGTAGCTTGAAAGTTTGCTGCGTTGACCTCCTTCAAAAAATCGTGTAGTTTTAATCAGCCTTTAACTTTTTGAGACCATGACTTTGCTCAGCGAATGTGAGAACAGCACGCATAGCGATCTTGCTGAGATTGAAGCCCCTTCCTCAGTATAGCAGAATTTATATCCTCAGATAAGGAGGAAGGTCTTTGTTAAGATGCTACAGTTTCAGAAACACATAGTCAATGCTCAGATTGACTGAGAGTTCTACTAAGTCCTATTGGTGAGGCTCTCAACAACGTATTTATAACGAGATGGTTGAAATGTTTGAAAATTCTGTTCTTCCAGAAGGTCATTAGCACCACGTTAGTGACGCTTTTATTTAGTGTGGTTTTGTATTACTCAAACTTTTATTGTCCTAACGTTACAAAAGTACCATCTTTGCTACAAAGTATTGATCCTCAGTCTCGTAGTGACCTACTCTTATGAAGAGAGCGCGATTTGTATAGCACTTACTTACTTATGCCTGTTACTCCTCGCGTAGGAGCATAGACCGCTTACCAGAATTATCCATCCAACCCTGTCCTGGGCAATCTTTTCAAGCTCTTTCCAGTTTTTTTTCATCTCTTTCATATCCGCTTCTATCTCTCGATGTAATAAGTTCTTTGGCCTTCCTCTTTTCCGCTTCCCTTCAGGATTCCAAGTTAGGACTTGTCTCGTAATGCAGTTTGATGATTTCCTCAATGTATCTCCTACCCGTTTCCATCGTCTTTTCCTATTTTCCTCTTCAGCTGGAAGCTGGTTGGTTCTCTCCCACAAAAGGCTGTTGCTGATTGTATCTGGCCAATGGATGTTGAGTATCTTGCGTAGAGAGCTATTGATAAATACCTGTACCTTCTTGATGGTGGTTGTTGTAGTTCTCCGAGTTTCAGCTCAGTACAGTAGAACTGCCTTGACGTTGGTATTGAAGATTCTGACTTTGATATTAGTTGGAAGACAGTTGTTTTGAGTTCCATGTGTTCTTTAATTGAAGAAATGTTGTCCTTGCTTTGCCAATCCTCGCCTTGACGTCTGCATCTGAGCTTCGCTGTTTGTCGACGATGCTTCCTAGGTATGTGAAGGATTCCACAACTTCCAGAGTGATTGGATTGCTGTTCTCCGTTTTGTGTTTGAGGACCTTGGTTTTCCCTTTGTGTATTTTGAGGCCTACTGATGCAGAGACTGCTGCTATGCTGGCTGTCTTTATCTGCATTTGTTCGTGTGTATGCGATAGGAGGGCTAGGTCATCTGCGAAGTCCAAGTCTTCTAATCGGTTCTGAGCTGTCCATCGTATGCCGTGGTTTCCCTCAGAAGTCGAGGTCTTCATAATCCAGTCGACCACCAGGAGAAACAGGAAGGGAGAGAGTAGACAGCCTTGTCTGTCTCCGGTCCTTACTTGGAATGCGTCAGTCAGCTGTCGTCCATGCACTACGTTGCACTGTAGTCCGTTGTATGAGTTCCGGCTAATATTGACAATCTTCTCAGGAACTCCATATTGTCTAAGATGTTTCCATAATGTTCTACAATCCACGTTGTCAAATGCCTTCTCATGATCAATGAAGTTGATGTAGAGTGACGAGTTCCACTCAATTGATTGTTCGACGATGATCCGTAGTGTCGCAATTCGGTCTGTGCACGACCGGTCCTTACGGAATCCAGCTTGTTGATCTCGAAGTTGAGCGTCTACTGCGTCTTTCATCCTGTTCAGTAACACTCTGTTGAAGACTTTACCTGGTATTGACAGTAGTGTAATGCCTCTGTAGTTTTCACACTTGCTCAGATCTTTCTTTGGAATCTTGATGAGGTGTCCTTCTTTCCAATCCATGGGCACTTGTTCCTCCTCTCAAATCTTCTTGAATAGAAGATGAAGCATGTTCGTAGTTACTTCGATGTCTGGCTTCAGTGCTTAAGCTGGTATATTGTCGGGTCCTGTTGCTTTCCCGCTCTTGATTTGTCTGATGGCCATTCTGGTTTCTTCGGTCGTTGGTGGATTGACATCTATAGGAAGTTTCATACACATATTTGCCCTTTTCAAAATCTATAGGAAGATCTGTGTGTACTGCTTTGATGTTCAGGGGATTCAATGAAGCTGGCCTATTCAATAGTTCTTCAAAGTATTCTACTCGTCTGTTTCACTGTTGCTGAATCTCAGTGATCGGTCTTCCTTCTTTGTCTTTGACTGGTCTCTCTGGTTTACTATATTTCCCTGCTAGGTACTCTGTTGTATCGTAAAGCTGTTTCATATTTCCTTCGCTTGCAGCCTTCTCCGTCATCGTTGCGAGTTCTTCCACGTATTTCTGCTTGTCGGCTCTAATGCTCTTCTTCACTTTCTTGTTTGCTTCTATGTATTCAGCTTGTGCTTGGACTTTCTTTGCTCGTGTTCGACTGTTGTTAACTGCTGTCTTCTTGTTCTTTCTTTTTTTGATCCTTTACAGTGTTTCTATGGAGATCCATTCGTTGAGATGATGCTTCTTGGGACCCAGAACCTCTTGACACGTTGAAGTTAGTGCTTCTTTTGTACCTTTCCAGTTATCCTCCATAGTAGTTTCTTCTTCCTTCAGTTGATCCTGTAGGGCTTTAAACCTGTTGTTGAGAGCTATCTTGAATTCATTCAGTTTGTCAGTATCTCGAAGGAAGGCTGTATTGGACCTTTGCAGTGTTGTTTGTCCAGTTTTCCAGTTCTTCCTTAGCTTCAGTTTCAATTTGACCACAACCAGGTGGTGATCTGAAGCTATGTCCGTCCCTCTCCTTGTCCTCACATCTTCCATTGTCCTTCGGAACATTTTATTGATGCAAAATGTGATCCATCTGGTTCTCTGTGGTGTGGTCCGGTGGGATCCATGTAGCTTTGTGTATACGTTTGTGTGGAAATATTGTGCCGACTATGACCAATTTGTTGAATACACACA